AATGGGCTAATTTGCACAAAACGCCTGATCGCACCGGCTAGTTTGGTGCGCGTTGCTATTTATTATAATCTTGTTGCCTGGTTCCTTGCATTTTCATACTTTGTTATTAACAACTCGGTTCTCGCTGTTTGTACTAAATGTGGTATTTTACCGCACTTAAAAGTGAGCTTAAAACTTCAGTTCGGTGATGGGGCTTCTCTCGTGCTAGCCGATTAAAAACGCTAATTTTGCTGATTACGCAAAGTATCGTGCCAGAACACATAATGTGGCAAAAATTTCCAATGGCTTACTGTTTATTCATTTTGTGATTGCAGATTCATTATACTAGTGAAGTTAACTTCCAACTCGGGTCAATTGGTGTCGAAGAAGTCGACTGTAATAATTTAAATCTAAGCTACGTAAGTTTTCCTGTTTGGACAATCCTTTGCAAATTTCATTTTCCCACTCGAGTAGTCCTTATGTGCATTTACATACTGACGAGAAATTTATGTGTACATACTGACGAGAAATTTATGTGCTTGTGTGTATTTTTGTCTGCACGCGTACGCAACTGCTTCGGTTTTTCAACTTATCAAATAAATTGGAATTTTAGAAAATTATCTCTACCCATGTCTGAGTTCGAAAAATTGGTATCATCTTCCGGAACCTTCTCGTGATTCGAACCTTCTGAAACCTCTTAGGGTTTTTGCGGCAGTTTTTACAGTTGGTAGCAACCATTGGCAATCGTTTCTGGAATTTCTACTCAGCAATGCGTCGGAAAAAAAAAAACGCAATACAATATTCTGGTTTGCTCGCAGCAAGATTGCATATTAGACGGTGTGGACTTGGAAGAAGTTGACAATTACTTCTGTCTCAAACAAGAACTAAATATGTGACAAATCCGCAACTGGAAATGGAACATCAAAGGGCCACAAATTGTGCTCGAACTGTGAAACTGGTTAAGGACTGTACCCGCCTCTTCAGTACCGCTATGCTGAAGATAATAATGTGTGATTCCGAAACATGGACACTCACCAAAGTTGAACGAGCGCTGGCTATGGCGGAGAAGACGTAGGAGCGAAGGGTGCTTGGCGTATCTCTCTGCGGCCATATAAGCGTCAGATGAACGATGTGCAGGATGTCATTACGATCACGCGAGAAAATAAAATTCGAGAGACAGCACATGTTGCTGGCCTAACCGATGGCCGTCACACATTAGTGAGTGGTAGCCATGAGAAAGTAAACGACACTCGGGCGTCCCCTCAGTGAGGTGGTGCACATAAATTGGACAGGCGATGAGTACTAGCTGTAGATGTGCAGCTGAAGATCGAAGGACTGGCGTAGCCGCGCTCAGCGTGTGGAATCCCAGTAACATCAGTGACAGAAGCCGGGACGGTGTTGGTATTCCTTTGCTGGCTAAAATTTAGGAAATTCTTTCTGTAGGATCAGGCGATGCTCACCAAATGACAAGTTTGCATTGTGTTTTTGAAATTTAATTTCTATGCCGGTTACTGAACTCATCTAGCAAATGTGTTCTATCCAGGTACGGGTAAATAGTCCAAAACTGGTTTCATACGTACATGGAGAGCTGGATTCATTCATCCGAGACATCCGGCTTTCCATTGAAGGTGTTGCTATACCGCAATTCTATTCTCCGCCGCCCGTGACTCTGCTCAGTTATTGTGGTGCTCCACTGTTGCGTGCAAAGTAAGTCCTTTGTAGAAATTGAAAAGGCCATAGTTCATGTTTTATTCTGTTTAATAAGAGTTGTTGCGTCGTCAGAAAAGGTCGACAAGTAATGACATTTTGAAATGCAATTTGTGTTTGGGAAATAAACTCAGTGTGCTCTTTTAGATGGGAGTTGGCTTTTTAAATAAGGATTAAAAAATGCCTATTGGAAGGAAAGCTTCATTTTTGTGTGCAGAAAGCTTATTTTATTCGCCTGCTAAATCTGTTTGAGCTAAATATGAAGCAACTTCCGGCGACTCAAGCAGCTTTTGTGGCACTTTAAAACGCTCACTCAGCTTGTCATCAAAATTTTCATGGCATCTCTGATCGTATCTCTATACTCCTTTAATAAGCTTGGCGAGTGCTAACAATTGAGCTACTCTACGAATAGCTCAGCCTGCTGGAGAGCAAGAATATAAAGGGTTGACTGATTTTTTGCCAGGATGTGGTTTATGCTGTCAGAATTTGACAGTTGGAATAGTGCCAAAACGACGCAGTAGTAGTCAGGATCTGCAGAATGTAGGTTGAGCAGAGGCTGAAAGGAAGGGACAAGTCGGAATGCCTACGATTACTAGAAAAGCAATATCTGAACAGAAAATTTTTTTGCGTGTGATTCGTTGCGGCTCCTTATGGCGTAAAACGAAGGCCGGCCGTAGTTCATATAATTTTTCGGCTGATTTGGCAGCTCAGTTTTTTGTGCCCCGTAACATTCAAAGAGACGCATAATGCATGCAGTCCTCCTGATTTGCCTCACTACGATTTGTTCGTCTTGTTGTGCCAATTACTGGAAAATTTGCAGAATTGATCTGGAATTCTATCAAAAGAAGAAAAGATCATGGCCTTTGCCGGATTATCAAATTCCGTGGGAAATTTGGCAGTTGCAGCTCGCTATTGTGCGAATTAAAGAAAGAGGTACCGCGGATGTAGCCCAAAAAGCGTTTCCCTGCTTTTTCTTTTCGGAGTTTTCTTTATTCTTCATGCCGGATTATTTGTATTTTGATAGCATTTGTTAGCAAAATACAGAATCCCGGAAAATACATAGAAAGGATTGGTAATACTGGAATTTTTAGAGTACTGGGAGCGAATGCGCGAAGAGCTGGCGGACTCAGTGTCTGAAGTTGTACTGAAAACATGCTCGCTGATCAACCGACCACAGTTCGTACCACAAATGCCGACACGCTCAGATGTTGCAAACGTTTTCGATACGACGTACCCTGAATGCCAGCCGTATCTTATGCGAATCGTCAGGCATCCACATGACACGAGTATTTCTTACTGTTCTTTCTTTATAAGCTTTTCGAGGCACAAAAAAGGACAGGGCGCGCCGCTGACTTAGGCATCCAGTCATTCTGCCCAATAGCAAAAGTATCGTTACGGAAGAAAAGGGCCTAGTTTCACCTCATTGATTACAACTTCTTCCCTCCACTGGTCAGCAGTGTAGGGCATTTGGTTCTGCAGTTGAGGAGTGGAGTGCTTCTTACAATTCTTTTAACATTAGGCTTTTAGAGGCGAATATCTCGAACTGCGAGGAGTTCCCCTGTCGACTTTATTTGTCATCTCCTCTCTATCGTCTTTAAAAAGGGCCAAGAATCGTTTTGCTGTTCTTGAAACGCAGTGAAGAATATTTGCAAAATTGTTACCTGATCTGATTTTCCTCATTCACAAAGAATGCGGTCTTAAACTCTGAATTTGGGATGAGTAGTACATAAAAACTGCTATTTGCTTCATGTTCAGTTTTCTTTTTGGTGTTTTTATGCAGCATTTTGCAACCGATCACATGTCCAGTTTTTCAGGTAAAAACTCGGAGAATACTCTAATGACAGTTGGCGCATCAGCGGTCAAAAAAATGCTGAGAGATACATTCTTATCGTAAAACTTGTCAGTCTAATGTCACTTTCAGACAGCATCGACACGTGTGTGAAATCTGGCAACGTCATCTCGTTCTTCACCTTCTTTTTCATGATAGAAATTTCAGCCCGCAGACATAATTGATCTGTGATGTGTCATGTTTTACATTGAAAGCTAACTTTGTCACTCACTCTGCCATGTGCGGGTTGCTTTTCGTAAATTGATGGTTTAAGAAAAATGCTTGTGTAAAGAGCTCCACTTTCGCCCCTCTAAATAGAGGTTAAAGAGAAACAAAGAAGTTTTGGGACAAATATTTTCTTTTTCAGTTTTTCCATTCGTGAGATACCGCAGCCAATCATTTGCGTTTGGGCTCATGTCTTTGTTGTATACGCACTTGCAATGCCTTAAATGCAAATCTCGGACCATATGGCATATCGTTCCCATTAGAAATGTTCGGTTTATGGAGCTATCTGCAACTTTTTTTTGGTGTTTTTGAAGTATATAAGATGTACGAGTTTGGGTGGGTTTCTCCACGCATGCAAGTGCTCTGTCGGCATGGTTTTTTTTTTCATTTATTGTATCTGCTTCACCAGTTCTGATGTAGTGCTATGGTAGAATAACCTTTTTATTCATTGTGCAGGGCATACGCTATGCGTTTAAAAATTACATGTGTATGTATAAATGAACTGTACATAATTGTATATAGGGCAGCTTCTTCGTTTTATACCTAAATGAGTGTTTTTATTAGTATTTCGCGAATGTAATTGTTCTTCAGATATCTGTGTTTTTTTCAATTTTTTTTTTTTTTGAAAGTATCGGATTATTTTTAAGTTGTAATTGAAGTGGAAATTGTGTAATTTCGTACTTTTTTACCTCATCTTATTATTAGATTATTCTCTACTGCTGTCATATGCTACAGAGTTGTAAGCTCCAAGCTTTTTTATCTCTCACTGCTTTGTTTTTTTTTGAATCGCTGAAACCATCGTTTGCCATAGTTTGGCTTGTGACGCCACTTATCACTTGGTCAGTTGGTGTTGTAAAGTTTCTCTTTTCCATCAGAAGTCGCTCTCCTAGCATTT